GATTGTAGACTGCGGACTGAAGACTGTAGACTGAAGAAGAGGGGCGAAGAATCGAGCGAAGACAATTCGAGTTGCGTGCTCTGCGTGAGCGTCGTGCGTTTGACTGACTGAATGACTGACAAACTGACGAACGCCAAAACTGAACCGGGTCTAAACCAAAGCGAAGACTAAAGACTGAAGACTGAAGACTGCAGACTGCAGACTGAAGACTGAAGACCAAGACTGACTTGGCCCATCATCCATCCATTTATTTCTGAGTTTCTGAGCTGCAGTTGCGGGAGTTGCAACGGCACAAGGAAAACCAAATTATACACATGCATGCACTGGGGGAAAAGATTGGGACTAAGAAAACTATGAAACTACACATATTTGAAAAACAAAAAAAACGGAAAAACATCATGACTTGACTAAAAACTCCACAAAAACAAGCGCTAAACTCGCCATCTTTTGTTTCCTTAATTATCTGGTTTTATTTTCGCGCTTATAAATATTAAATTTAAAATATTTACATTGTAAAATTGTATAAGAGGTCTATTTAAATAATATATTATATTTTTCGGCTCTTTATAAACTATAAAATTTGTATTTATATTAAGTGTTAATAACATTGTATTTTGTAATTGAAATCAAATTGCATTGAGGTCTAGAAATACTCCACATTTGTTTAAAAGTTTTAAGAGTTTTGTATTTTTTTTTTTTTGGTCAATTTATTTCATGAATTTTCCGAGTGTACCAAAGTCCGAGTTGAAGACTAGGAACAACGCCTCCCGCGCTTATCCCCCCCTTCTTGCCACACCAACACAATTGAAATTCCTCTAGCGCAGAAATTGCATTTCACGCTGGAAATGCGTGCTCTGCGTGCAGCAAAAAAACTAAAACCAAAGTGCAACAGCAACAAAAATTGCATTTGCAACAGCAACAACCATTGCAGCAGTGCAACAACAACCACATCAGGAGCTGCAACTTAAGTCAGAAGAAAGACAAAACGCCTCAGAAACATTAAGAGCACAAGCTCTGGATGCACTATTAACAATTCACAAAATTTAAATAATTCCAAAATTAATTAATATTTCCTTTCAAAGTGTTCGTGTTTTCTTTAACTAAATTTTTGTGTCAATTGAATACCAACCCAACTTTGATGTTTAAATAACTATTCTTTTCGCACCAAGAAAACAATTTTAAAAAATATTTCCAATACCTATATTTGGGATATCCTTTGTTGATGATTAAATTTTTTCTAATATTTTGGTAAATTCCAGAAGAAAGAGTAAATCCAGATAAGAACGAGTTGCCCGGCGAAGATCAGTGGGAGGCTGCCAAGTAGCTTTCGGAACCAAAGTGTAGGAATAGTGGGTTGCAGCTGGGCTCATTCCGTCATGCCGGAAAATGCCAAAAGCACAACACTTGCAGCACAGAAGAAGATTCGAGAGTATGGGGCAAAAAAACACAGGAAAAAAATACCATAGTAATGATAAAAAAACAAATTTTAAAAGTTTTAATAACCACATACAAAAATTGTTTGAATAACCATTTTATTTGTTGTTTTAATTGATATTTGGAATATTTATTTTTTATTTAGAGCAAAACTATTTTCTTTCTTGTGCAAACTCTTGTCAGTTGCGATCGCAACTCATCTACCTTTCAGTTTCAGTTGGCATCATTGGATTGAAATTATTTTCGCTTATCACATACCCACGCAACATTGTCATATTCTATTAGTATTTATTGTTGATTTTTTCCCACTATTTTGCTACTTTGTTATTGTTTACTTTTCAAGTCTTTCGATTGCAGGAAGAACAAAATCTCCACACTACTGCCTCTGTTGGAATTGTTTGTTGACATTCGCAACTTTTTCGCAGCCCACACAAAAAATTATGAGAGCCAGAAAAAAATGGGGGGAAATGAGGAAAAGGGTTGCCCAGATGAGGCAGCAATTTTTGCTGCCTGATATATTTGGTAAACATTTACGTTGCATAAACAGTGCAGTGCTTAAAATTGAATAAAGATTGTTTTTTAAATTTTTACTGGACTGCTGAGTTATAAGTCGCAGCTGAAATTTATTTCATAAGATCATAAGGTTTTATATTTGACTAATGAAATTAAAACGAAAATTAGAAGATTAATTATATTTATAAGCACTTTTAAGATTAATTTTATTCATTTTGTAAATTATCCAAAAATGTCCTTTAATCTTCAATTTCAAAGCCAAATAAACCCTCTTTTAATCAACTGCTATATATATTTGTCCATAAAGATCATAAAAAGGAAGCAAAAGAACACCTTTGTAGAGTAGACTTCAATTAACTGGAGTCATTTGATCAATTCCATTTTCATTACCCAGTAAATTATTTCCAATTGATTTATACGTTAGCTTGGACCTTACCTGTCCCAATTAGCTTACTTTTTATGTACATTTTTTCGATGCAACTTCGGTGGCTTTCGGTATATTCTTTCGTTTTTTTGGCATGACGTCAAGTTGTTCGCTTGGCCGCCAATCCTTGTGTCAAACCGTTCTCAAGGGTAAATGGAAAATCCATTAATAAATAAAAAAGCGCCACTCACCTGCAACGAGAGGAAAAGAGATGGAGAAAATACGTTAAAAAAGAATTTCATTAAGTGCATTGTGGGTTCTCGGAAGGTTAAAGGAAAATACAAATAAAATTATAAATGGGCAGTGCAAAAAAATGGGTAAACTGGCCAGCAAAATGGCGAACACATATACATACGCATATATATAGTGCACTATGTGCATCCCCACACACGCACACTCACACTCGCACTAAAACACACACACATTGACACTAATAAGCTGACGAGTTTTGCGTGTGTCAACTTTTGCACTTTTTGCGCAAATGCAAATTGTGTAAAAAGAAAAAAAAAATAAAAAGTAAAAAAAAAAACAACAAAAAAGATGAAAGAAAACATATTTTCACACGAGACATGACGATGCCCCCCCCTCCCCCGCCTCACCCATCCGCCCATCTCCCTCGCACACTGCACGCTCCAGCGATTCGTTGGGCGAAAAGGGAGATATATATATGTATATATATATATATATACGGACAAATACATATATTTATACCTGTGCAAGTGCATTTACACATGCATATATGTTTACCTCTCCTATAACTTCATTCCAATGGCCGCCCTGCACTTCCTCCAGCCTATTTCCCTCTCGCTCTGCCGTTCCTTTTGGTATAAAACATTAAAACCATGCATATTGGATGTCTACGAATAGTCCAAATATTTGTTGTAAAATCGCTACAGAAAAACCCCCAAAAACAGGAACAACAATAGTAACAACAATCGAAACACGCAAGGCCCCAAAGACAAGGCTCAAATATTCACACTGTCAAAAAAAGTGTAAGCAAAAAGCAAAACAAAGTTTAAAAAAAATCACTTTAATTCCTTTAATTATTTGGATTGTATTTAATTGAATAAAAATTTATTGGTGCTATTCAGGATGTTCAAAAATTATGTTTATTACGATATTAATTTCCAAATGTTATTTTAAATTGAATTAGTAATAGTTTTGTGTGCAAACTATACAGTTTTATTTTGAATTTTCTTAATAACATTAAGTAGTAAATTAAAATAAAATGAGTATATATTTCAAAAAACTATGAAGGTACTTGTTTTTGTGAGCACTATTTTTTGTGGGCTTAGTTTTATCAGGCATGGTTCATGTGATACTAGACTAAATAACTAATTCAACTTTCTTATGAAATATAACACCATTTCTGCCAGTGTAGGTCAAAGAGGAGGCGTGGTGTGTGTGTGCTGGCTGATTCTCTTTCCCTTATTTATTTTGGTGGGCAGGGGTAGCTCGATTACAGCTAAGGACATCCACACTCACACACACACACACACAAACCTAAGCTAGGGAAATACACACTATTCTTCCTGTTCCTATTCCTCCACCTTTCAACCCCCCACCCCCTCTCTTATAGTAGTTCTTGGCTGAACGCATTTAATGGTCGAACAAATGCCTCGCTTTTTTTCCTCTTTTTTTTGAGGGTGAGAATTCGCACACACGTGCAGCGGTAAGGGTTGCTAACCCTCCAGTGCGTGTGTGTGTGTGCCTGTGTTTGTGTGTGCGGGATGGAAATAGTGCCCCTAGAGTGCGAATGAAAGAGAGGGCGCGATTGTGGCACATTTAACCCATTGGCAGCCATTTTTAGTTTTAGCCACCACAAATCCAAACGAATTTCAAGGGAAGAATGGGTTAAATGTGAAGGCCGATCAACCAAAACTATTCATCGATCGAAAAAACCTTTCAAATATATCTGCTTTTACTTGAAATCTTAACAAATATTAAAAAGCTGCCATTCTGAACATAAAGTTGGCGTAGTAAACTCCGTCGGTTAATAAAAAATATATGTTACTCAACACAATACCCACAAGGTTCGTTATTATGATTACGACACTTTCTTATCGCCAGAAAGATTTATTTGTTAAAGAAAATTTAAGACCTATTTCCGGTGATTCCGGTAGTTACATGTTACGTCAAGGAATTTAACAATGCAGTTATATATTTAAGATAGGTCAGTCATTTCCGTTTCTACTTCAAATTCAGATCAATAGAGCTTTTTGTCATCAAATACCCTTCATCGATCGATCGATGCAATGTATGCAGATCCATTGTGTCCAGCTGTTCACTTCAATCTGTTACCAGGTTTTTTTCTTTTTTTTTCTATTTTATTCCCACCCATTTTTTTATTTTGATACACTTTTAAACTACTTCTTTGTCTATTATTATATATCAAACATTTTGTATTTCTTATTCTATAATTACACTCAAGCTTATACATTTTTACCTTCCTTTTAAATAAATTTATCATTATCTTTTCTTTGGAGAATATTTTTATATATATAAATATAAATTATATAATAATATATTCCTCAAAGATCTACCCACCTTAACTGAATAATTTTTCCCCCCCAGTAGTCGTTGCCTTTTAATTTGAATATGTCAGAAGTGTTTTCCATTTCCAAAGTCATTTTATTCAGAGTGCTGGTCCGGAATAGACATAACCGACTCATTTTTGATTTTATATACATATTTGTTAAAATTCTCAATGTCTGACTAAAAACCGGAAAGATTCTTGAACGAAACTCAAAAAACAGATCTCGATTCAAAATTGAAAGTTCGCTTGATTTGTTCGCACTATCGCAGAATATTGTGACTGAATCGCGATGGCCAAGGACCAGGAAGGAGCAGAAGAGGCCTATATCCCCGTATCCGCCACGGAGTCCTCGAAGGACCAAAAGCGGGATCAGCGTGCCCGACTGATCAAGGCCTTGAGCCGGTTTAAGCCGCGGGATGCCAATCCGTTGCAGTTCTACAACTGCGTCCGCGAACTGTGCATCATGCACAACTGCAGCATCGACGAGGGTTTGGAGCGGGCGGCTTTAACCTGGCCGGGATTAAGTATGCGCCAGCGGGAGCTCTACGATTCGGTAAGTCCATCTGGAATTTACTGGGGACAAGAAGCAGAACATTTCAAATTGTATTCTATTTTATGAATATTTATTTCATGGTTCTAATCTGGCAATATATTTTTATTAATTATTTCTTATGCCTATTTATGATTTTTAAGAACAATAGGAATATATAAAATAGGTTTATTAATTTGATTTTCATAAACTAGTCAGTGTTCCCTAATCTAAAATTCAGGCTTCCAAAATAATTGTCTCTTGGGACTTTTAGTGTATATATCAGTAAAGAATATAATTTATTTTCAAATTAGTCAATACAATTGATCTTTAATAAAAAGGCAAAGCCATATCTGTGTTTCTTAAAATCCAAAAAACATTACAGCTCATAACTCGACAAATAGGGTTCAAATAATCGGCTTTGAAGTTATAATTTTAATGTGGTTAATTTTTAGAGCTATAATTTATTCCAATCTTCTTTAATTTTTCCGTTCAGCAACGTCACGCGGAGCTGCCAATTCCAGTGCCGCGGCACCTGATCTACCGCGCCTTCCAGAAGGAGAGCAAGGGCCTGTGGTCGCTGGGCCGCTCCTCGGTGGGTGGCAAGCGGTCCACCCGCTACACCCTGGAGTCCTACAAGCCGCCCCCGAAACCGTCGCGCATTGGTAGTGCCCTGATCGAAAAGCGGCCCAAGTACGACAATCTGCTGGACTTGCCACCCAAAGCAGCTGCAATGCGAGTACCGCCGGCACCCAATCGCAAATTTTCCAGAGTATCGCCATCGTCCGGTCGCCGAATTCGCAGTCTAACTCCCTCGCCGGCCGTCAGGCGTGTCCGGTCCATCAGACAGATCCTCTCGATGGTCAGTGTGCAAATGAAGAAATCCGGACGTCGGCGTCAGGGGAAAAATCACCATCGGGTGAAGAAAGTTGGCACTGCGGAACAGGCCAAAATAGTACCGGAAAAACCCACAACCGGAGTAGTTTCCAAGTTGCAGAGAAAGAAGACGACAACGGCGATTAAACGAAAGTGTCCATCTGGTGGCGGTTCAAAGGCCAAGCGATCTGCCAAGGAGGAGGATCTGAAGACGGCCCACAACTGGGATCTGGCCATCGGCTGTGTCCGCCGGCGACTCATGATGCACCAGCCTCTGAAGACCAAATCATAACCTACTTCTTGATGCGCACAGTGTATTTTTACCCAGAAAGCCTTGCACACAGATAAAACATAAACACAGATTGCACAGTTCAATACGATGGGTTGTAGGTGTCAAATTGAAAGTAACAAATTAATGTAGATCCACACATCATGTTAGTTAGGGTTTTAAGGTCCAACGTTCGAGGTTAAACAAAATCGCCTTTTTCGGTATTCAGTAAATTGAAAGTAAGAAATTAGTGTGCATAATTTATGTTAAGATTGCGAACAAAAAGTTGTAAGTTCAATGTAAAAAAATCAAGTATACGAAATATGTAATTAAAAAACATACAAAATTAAAGTAATTGTTAAATTCTTCATTTAATAATTTGAGGTGTACGAATGTTTTATTTAAGAACAATTTTGTGGGTAATAAGTAATAATTAATAATAAGTAATTAAAATAAGCAAATGACTCTAGAAAATTAAAGCACAAAAAAGGGTTTTACATTTGTATACAGAAAGTATAGGTTTCAAAAAATTTTTTAAAAGTATTGGTCATCGAATATTTATGCAAAGCCTTGATTATAAATTAGTCAATCGATAAATTCAAAGAAGTTGAAGAGGAAAAAGGAATAGAATAAATGGCATCCACTTTCCCAAGCCTTAGTTTAATTAGGCACGGAGAATACCTCTTTCATTCGCTTCAACTGATCGCCAACATAAAAAGTCCCCCATAAATACTGTAATTAAAACCATTGAGATCTTAACATTTCGGTCGAGACAACATGAAAAAACACTAACAATTTTCTAGGCAATTTTATGGCATTTTATTTCGTCTATTGCCGCATGTTACTCGTATTTCCCGACTTCTTTTTTTTTATTCTTTTTTTTTTCTAGTTTCCAAGCGGGCGCAATCATTTTGATGAACCGTTAGTTAAGCACCAACAACAACAGCAACAATAGCTAATAAAACATTAGCACACACATACTGGCATAAAAGCCAAAAAAAAAAGATAAATAAAATCGGCAGAGGCAGAAACAAAAAAATTCGCAAAAGTTTTTTTTTTTTTTTTTGCAAATCGGCACGCAGCGACGTTGGGCATTTGACCCAAATTCGGAGACAGCTCTTCTTCTACGTTTTCTACTATTTTTTTTTTCGTTGCTGTTCTCCACGCGCTTTTGTGCGTTACCCAAAAAATAACAACAATAAAAACAATGAGAGAAACGAAAAAAAAATTCGCAAAACTTTTTTTTCGCGGCTGCTAATTCTGCAAAGTCAAACAAAAAAAAAACATTTCAATTCCGCATAGAGAAGGAGCAGAGAGAAAGATTTAGAAAAGATACAAGCCAGAAACAACTGTACAAAATTCAGTTTGTTTAATTTTTTTGGACTGCCTATGTCACTAAACATTTTTTTGCGTTCTGCCTTTTTGGCAATCTTTAGTTTTTACGGGATATTTTTTCGTAGAATTGATTCAGTAATTTTATATTCTACCTGTTTGGCAGCAGATTTATACAACAGAATTATATTCAAAATATTAAACCTTTGGGTTGATTTTTGAAATAGTTTATAAGGTTCTCAAAAGTGCCTAGTTTTTTTATTGATTTCTGAAAGAATTAAAAGGATAGGTGAAATATTTTCTTTTGAAAAGATATTGCCCATGCTTTTATTTTAATTATTAATTAATATCACCAAAAATAAAGTTTAAAAATACCAATAAATTAAATTTGCTTTCTTTGCCAAGTTTAGTTCACTCATATTATTAACTTTCACAGAAGTTTTTGTTCGGCAATCTTTTCTAATGTATACTTATCCCAAAGGATGTCTTATCTTTGCCCTTAATTTACTTTCTTCATTTAGTCAAAACTTTCTACAAATATTTCTTGTACTTAAAAGTTTTGGCATAACCATCCAACTTAACCACCTCAATCGCCTTCATCTGAGTTTCATTTGAGTTTCATTTGAATCATCCAATTTCATTGCCAACCTTTTTTCTTTTTGGCCCATAACAATTTATAACCGCTTCTGCTCAGCAAAAGTTTTGATGACGCTCCACGAAGCCACTTACAAAAGCTGACATCTACAACACACACTGAAATAATTTATTTATAAATATATTATTCTATTTGGCATTTTCAAATTGGTTAACAGCTAATATATCTGCTTAATAAAAAGACTTGTTAATTACTAGGTAAATATCCTAACTTTGGTGGTAGCCTGAAAAATATTTAAATATTTATAATCTTTCTTTACCTAACTAAAATTAGAAAAGACTGGATATTTATGTTGTTTTTGCAACTTCATCACCAAGATCATTTGGACATATCATATATAGCTGTCGAATCGTGGGTTTCCCAATTTCTCCGCCTCTTTTCTGGTTTCCAACTTGTGTTTCTTTTTTGCTTGTTGCTTTGCTCTTGCGCCATTTGACTTCTAACTGCTTTTGTGGCTCCAAACATATCTACATATATCTACATATGAATGTGCGATTTTTTTTTAAGGCGCTAACTAGGCAAAAGCCACCAAGTTAACCCAACTAGTCGTCCCTCGCCCTTCTTTTTTTATTTCTTTTATACAGACAGTTTTTTTTTTTTTGGTGCTGCTGTCTTTGTTTTGTTGTCAAGCTGCTGTCCAAAAAAAAAATTGCAAAAAAAAATTTAGCAAGAGCAAGAGTACAACGCCGATTACGCAATGCGTTCACACAAACACTCATACACACACACACACACACACGAATAATACAGAAAAAATAGACACACATACTGCCAAGGTTTTTGTTTCGTTTCCGCGATCAACGCGCTCGCGAAAACTCACACAGGCACACACGCAAAAAAAAATTCGCAAATATCAACAAAGTAGCTTGTGCGTGCGACCCAATTGGAAATTTGACACACATTGACAGCGGAGATAGGCGAAAAAAAGTGGGAGGTCGTTCAGGGGGTTTCCGGGGGTCAGGGAGTGACGTAGTCCAGAAGCAGCTGCTCAGATACAGATACAAAGTCACAAAGATACATCCACAAGAGGCGCGGAACCAAGTTCACAAGTATTCACTATGTGCAAAATAATACTCTCACCAAAAGTAAATGTGATGCCTAGTTTTCTAAGCAGTACGCAATTCTTTAAATATTATTAAATATTAAATATTATTTTAGAAAGAAAAAAATGTGTTACTTATAAATATTAAATCTAAAGAAACACATTCACTTAAAAATATTTTTATATATTCAAATAATCATAATCAAATAAAAGAAATCAAGAAAAATTACTTTAAAATTAAAGAAAGTGCTGACTATCTAGAACTACAAACTATAGCCACTTTTTTCCTTATTATTCCCTGTTTATAAGTACTCTTCCGCATATTTTGAAATACCTTGACGCATTTGGTTCTTCCATAACTCAAATCTTTTTAAACAAACGCATTTTTCGCGCGATTTTGAAAGAGTTATAGAGACAGCTTTTTCGCCAGCGTTTTTCCATGGCGAAATTAAAAAGAGAAAATTATAAAAAAAAATGTGGGGGGGAAAACACACATCTGTGGATTTGTATGCGCGTCTATGTGTTTGCACTCATTGCTCATTTGTTTCGTGGGCTTAGAGGTCTGGAAACGCGGCGAATAACTGGCAACTGGCCTGACCTTTGGCTTGACCGTGGGCGTGAATTGCGAATAGTTGCGAAAAATACGAAAAAAAAAACATTGCAAAAATAGGCAAAGCTACAAAAAACCAAAAACAAAACAAAAAGAAGCGAGAAATGGCAGACAAAAAATGTTTCTAGCGGACTGCTTTGTCGCACAGCTGAAATTCAATGCTATCTACGCACACACAAATTAGTTCAGTAGGTGCTTTGATGTTGTTGTTGTTCCTGACGTTTGGGTTTAATTTTAGACGCTGTGGAAAATTAAACATTTCGCAGCGCAAAACGCCAGCAAGAGAGCAGCAGCGGTTGGGCTATAAAAAATTCGCACATTTCTGTCCTTGACACACATTGCGTATACGCAATCTACGCAGCCGGCTCCACAAAAGCTGATTTCATTTATGAGTGCGTGCGAATTTTTTTTTCGCATTTTCGCATTTGTGTGTGACCCACATACGAAATCAAACAAATACAGATAACATATGTTTCCCCCACATGCTTTGGAATTTTTGCACACTTTTTTTGCGGAAGACAAATTTGCATAGTTTGAATACGATGTTTTTGGCAGTAAGAAAATTTTTCTCGTTTTGTGACGTTGATTAATGAATTTATCGTTTGTCTATTTATTTTTCCCGTTGAGAGGTCAGAAGGTCGCAAACGCAGCGAAAAATCGCATCCATTGACAGCTGCCAGTTAAGGAAATGCACTTCATATATTTTCAATATCCACGAAATGTCAAAAGTAAACTGCCAAAAATTCTGTTAGCAAACCTTTGATTTTCAATAATAGCAAAATATTTAAAAATATTAACATGAAAGCGAACATAAAAAGTATATTTATAATATTTTTATTTTAAACTTTAAGAGTGTTTTATTTTTAAAACAAAAGTAGATATAGCATATTTTCCGGTCTTTCATATTATGGGGTGGAGTTTTGTAAATTCCCTTTTTATTTCTGATTAATTTGTGTGACAAAGTTTGGTGTCGATCCACCCTTAAAACTTTTATTGAAATATATATATAGATTAGAACAAAAATTGAAACGCAATTTAAAATTCTTAAGCCCTTTTGCAAGAAATAAAATAAATGATTTGATTCGCATTCCATTTTTGTATATTTTGCAATTTTTATTTATCTTTTCTACTATAGTTTGTCACAAGTGATTTTTACCTTACACAACATTTTAGTTTTTTCTTCATTTTTGCCTAATGTCATGCGTTGAGGTGCTGAGAACGTGCCTTTTGCTATTTTTAACAGTTTTTTTTTTTGCGATAACAAAATATTACTAATGTTATGTACAACTACCTATAAATATTTATATATATATATATTTACAACTGAGTGTAGATTTACCATCATATACTTCTTCTGACATTTTTGTTGTGGAATAAAATATTTGAGAAGTGTGACTGATAAACGACACAAGCAAAAAAGCTCTTTTCTATCTTGCTATTTTTCTTTTTTTGCACATTTTTTTAATGAATTTTTTTTTTGTATTTCTTGTGTTTGCCAAACATGCGAAATTGCGTAAGCAGCAATAGGCGAAGAGAGATAGATTAGAAAAGCGCGAGAGCGAGAGAATTGGCAAATAAAAGCAACAAAATATCGCAGCCACACAGATACACCAATACAAGCGCAAACATATATATTCGCACGCTCTTCAACTTGACTTTGAAAAATGTTGACAGAGCGAAAAAGAGAGGTAGTTCGCAATATTTGGCAACATTTTTGCCTGTGTTCTTGACTTTATTAT